GTCATGCTTATTTACCGTCATACTCTCCTGAACTTAATCCAATTGAGCAATTCTGGTCAGTTGTTAAGAGCAAAGTAAAGCGCAATAGGTTATTGGAAAAAGAGACGCTGATGACGAGAATTAAAGAGGGTGGGACAAGCGAGTCAGAGCAAGAACCATGAGGACAGGCTAGTTTTGATTGGTGAATCTTTGAATACTCAGAGGGACATTTGATAACTGCTGTAAAGAAGCAAAAAAAAGGACTCGATTAAAGTGGGTTTTTATATGTTTTTCTTTTTCAAACAAGCTTCAGGATCAGGTACCTGGAACAAAGAAATCATATTAAATAGGAGAAATCTACATGGTGATTACTCAAGAATATGCATTGCCAAATATGACTACATGTTCTTCTGATTTCATGGAAAAACCGAAAAAAGAATTTAAACTTTTACAAAGAGACTAAAGAGGGTTATTCTAATATTAAGTTAATTTCAACTCCAAGACAGCCCGCCTGTTAATAATACTGTCAAATGGGATAGTGAGCCATATTCTTTTTGTATTTGTAATTACTCTGATAACATTACAACGGTTTCAATACGACATCTAGATTTGGAAAGCACGACATTCAGTCTCGTTATTTTTTGGAAATACAGTATATCCATGGATGTCAAGGCTGATACTACGAAAATATTCTTGGTGATGACGGATTTACATTTTGTTCAGTATGAATTTTGTTTTCACCATTGGGTGCACTTATTTTCGATCACAAGCGAATTTACTTTCCGGAAAGAGTGTATATCACTGACGTTACTCTTTTAGATTTGGCTGTGCGCCAAGAATCTCCCCTGCAAATAGAAAAATTTTATGTATAGTCACACTGATTTTTTTTTTCTGGCCTTTCTTTTTCTTGTTTTGTTTGACAGCATAGATCAGCCATGAGTTTACGTTCATTAGTTAGATTCAGTACAAGAGCATCAGTACTAGAGAACACAGTCAAGATCCAAACATCTCGTTTTGGTACATTATCCTTGATGAACAGCTTCAATAACACAGCTGTGAACATGAATACATTTCAAATACCCAGTTGGTTAGAAGCCTTCTTATGGGCAGCGCCCAAAAAGAAGACCTCTCACTCCAAGAAGCGTATGCGTGCGTCCAACAAGGGATTACAACAAAAGGAGAATATTACAACTTGTCCAGTATGTGGAAGCCATAAAATGATGCATCATTTATGTGGACATTGTTATTCTGATATCAAAAAGAAGGCCAAACTTGAGGTTGCTTAGTAACCTTTTTGTGTGTACATAACAACAACAACAACAACAACAATATAATAATAAATGTGCTTTATCATACAATACAATATGGACATTTTGACATTAAAAGTTCTTTGCATAAGAGCATATTGACTAAATGGTTTTGTTCTTGTATTGTTTATGTGTTGATTATCTAAGCAAAGTGGTCATTGATGACGATAGCTTCCCTTGTTTGGTGCTGCCTTTAATTTGGGAGGCAACTTTGTCACTATATGAAGTTGAAACTCAAAAAAGTGGTCTACTCGAGAGAAAAGGATGGGGAACATTTGATGTGTAAGCACTGTGTACAATAGGTACGAATTAAGAACGGCTTATCCTGAGGTAAAGGTTTAACAAGTTGATTATAAATATACAAAATATACGCTTGATTCCAAGGCTGCCTAATCCGTCGCTGTTGTTCTCCATTGTCAACTTCAGAATAATTTGATTGACAACATCGTATAGCGAACTAGGAGGCTCTGACGAATACCTATCCTTTGAAAGTCTTGCTCTATGTTCTTCTCTGAGCTGGACAATATTCGTCGCTGCTTCTTCCAGCAGGCACTATTTGTCAATATTGGTTATTTTGTTTTATGTTTAAAAATACTTATTACCTTGGTTGTCCAGCAGAACTTTATCGATTTAGGCAAATATTCATTTCTGTCTTTGAAATTTGGTTGTATTTGAAGAGATACTTCTCTCCAAAGGTCGAATACTCATTCTGATTGGAAACGTACGCTACAGAGATGCAGCATGGACCCTATTTACATTTTAAGAGAAAAAAATTAGTATTCAATACAACAACTAGCAGAACGATATATTACTTGCATCATGCAGAAAGAACACTTTAATGTGACTAAACTCTTCCACAGAAGCAAAACGGTACCATCTGTGACGAATGCCAGCATCGCAAGGGTACCAAAATGCCCTTATGATAGTCAACGTTGACTTCGACCTTGTTACCATTACTCAAGTGACCGGATGCTTCCAGAAGTAACAGCTCAAGTCTCTCGAAACAAAAAGGCATGGTCAGTCTGTCAAATTTGTACTGGCTTTTGTCGCCAACACAAATGCCATTGCTGCTCAATTGTTTAGCCATACTTTCGAGGGGGGAACTGACCCTACTCGAAATTGGGCCAATACGCATGGACTGTTACGCTTCTTGCAATGATGTCCCAGATATGGCCATATGTACAGCTGATTAAAAGCATCCTCGTATGCACTTCTATCAACAAATGATCCATACGACTTTGCTCTATAAGTTTGTGCTTGATAATTAGACTATCAAAATACGACTTACATTATTAGCAATATTCCTTATAAGAACTCGAATTCAGTTTATTTTCTCGCCATCTGCTGAAAGAATTACCATTGAGATTTCCCTTGCTTTATTTTTAAGTCTGTGCAAGCCATCTTACAGGCATTTTTACAAAATTACCCTTAATATACATGATATAGTTGCTTATACTATCAATGGCGTTATCAATGCATTTGTGTAGAGCCAAGGGAATAGACGTATCATTGATACTATGCCTCTCTACATGCTAATCATATAAATGCCTGTCCAAAGAGGGCCTGGCGGAGAAAGTTTTATTCTGCACTTTAAAAACTACCTGCATGGATGAAATGCGGACTCATAGTTCTTCAGGAACTATTTTACAATGAAAAAGAAAAGGAAACGATAAAACGCTGCTTTTGTTGCTTTTATTTTGCTTTCAAGCGATGACGCGTACTCGTGCGTCACCAATTCCCCCCTTTTTCTTTTTTAATTGCATAAACAATCTGGATAAACCAACAAATGTCTTTGCTTAGAACTAAAGTAAGGTAAGTGTTACTTGTTCTTGTAAGCTCATTTTTCTTTATAAACGCCGCTACATCATAGTGGCATAACTCTTTATCTGCGCCATGGCCATGCTTGAGGACCTTGTAAGGCATGGGTAGGGTAATTTTAGCAGTGAACGTTGCCCAAATGTTCCTCAGCTGAGACACAATTAAATGAAAAAAAAAGGATCGACTTGCTTGTTTATTCAAGCCTCGACCTCATTCTTGCTCAAGCTTACAATTGTAAAGTGTATATTCAAAAATATTATAAAGTTGCTATTTAGCGTCATTGTTTAAATTGAAATCTGTACCCAAATTTCTTGGAGAATGCTTACTTACACTTTTGGATCAGAGAAGGATCCAATTCCCGATGACGGTACAGACGGTGTACATGACCTTTTGCTCTTAAGTGTGACCCCGATGAATTTATATCCAATCAAATCAACACGAGGAATCAATCTTGAACGCGTATATGCTCAAGAAAGCAAACAAACATAGAAAAAAGGTAGAAGAAGTATGATTACACCATTTATCATCATTTGATAAAGAGAAGGGGATGGCTGATATCATCGATCTTTCTCCTTTTTTGTCTCTATTTAAACACAAAGTTGTCAGCCCCTTAAATTCTATTCTCTCTCTTCTCTCTTTTTTTACCATGAATTCTGCTATTGCAACCAGAAAGTATTATCATAATACAGTAACTGTCATTTATTTCTGTGCATATTTCAATTCTATTCATACTTTTATAATAGCAACCATTAGATTTACCTCCAACACCTTCTTCTTCTTCTTATAACGAGAAAACAAATAGTACGTAAAAGAGCAAAGAGGGGAAGATGACAAGATAATAACGTTTTTTTTTTTGTTGATAGATAATATTTCTATTCCTGGATATGGTTCCATTGGGTCTAGTTCTCGTATAGGTATAGAAATAGGATCAGCTGGTATAAACTAAATCATTATACGTAGAAGGCATGCAAACAACTGTAAGTTCCAATGATGATGAAGGATTATATTTGTTATGGACACACCAACTCTTGAGAGAACGTGGATTTGTTCCCTCTCCATGTTGGCTAAATGAAGAAGATTATACAGATGATACCCATATAATAGATGATGATGACAGCAGTGTGTCAGGTGATGAAGAAGATCCTTACGAAAAAAAGCGTAGATTGTTCTCGCCCACCGTCTCATCCGGTCATAATGAGCATTTATATAGCTATCAAAGCTCTCTCATGTCTCAAAATTCGATACCTTCTTATATGAGTCAGCATAGACAAGAAGAACAAGAAGAAGAGCAAGGCCATGCTTTTCGTGGCATATTTTCAACATGTTTCGGCAAATGTAGCTAAATTTAAATATGTATATATAATAATAAAAGATCAAGCATACGTTTAAACAGATTCTTATTTATAATTAATTAAAACCTCTAATGGGCGCACGATTGTAACATTACATCTTTCCTGCCCGAGGCAGTTCAGAAAGGAAGGACAGTGATGGCTAAAAGCTCTTTTGAAATCGAGGGTAAAAATGTTTTGGAAGGAGCGAATGGGACCAAGTGTAAGATACACTAGTGAGTAAGAGAAGAGGGAAACCATTCTAAGAATCTTTGCCCGAGATGAGTGAGCGGGGTAGGCGGAAGCTTAGTGTGATATAGATAATCGAGTCCATATAGGATTCTGCATACAATTGGCCAGCGGATGATCCACGAGAGTGTTGTGTTAGGAGAGCGAGGCTTCTTGATAGGTAGCATATTTAAAAGGAAGGACAATGGGTCAGAAATGGTTCAGGAAGATCAAGCATACACTTTATTCAGAAATTATTCGCACACTGATAGAAAAATGATAATTTCAGACAACAAATCTTAGGCCTAGCTGGGGAATAGCTGGTCTTACTTTTTTGTCCAAAGAAAAGAAGCCAAGGTCAGATTATTTATATGAAGTCTCTAGCAACTTTTTCAGTTACGTGTTATTCATAAGTGTTGACCACATTTATCTTCTCTTCTTCCAAAAAGACAAAATTCATTGCCCTTTTAATAATAAATGATTGATAATCAACTAAAGTGTAATTCTTGTTGGTTTTAGATTGTGTGAGGCATATATATTATAGCATTTATTTTTAAGAGTCATGTTATTAACCATTATGGAAACTATACAAGCATATACAAAGGACATATATATATATATATAAAAAGGAAAGTAATAACAATAAAATATTACATAGCTCATATAAATATCATAAAAGAGAGAGATAACATTTTATCTAAGTGTGCTTGTCGACAATATCTTTCTTAGTGTGTTTGATTTTGGTAAGAGAAAAAAAGAGCTTTTTTTTGAGAGTGAAGGTGCTGATGTCTTGATGGAAGCAGTTTCATCTGTTGAATATATAGTGGGTTTGACAACAGGGATACCTTCTATTGGATCATTATCTTTATGAATAGGATAAATGATATCTTTAGGTGGAACAGGAGGTGGACTAGGCGAAGGGCTGGTTGAATAAGGTGAAGGCAAGGTTCTGTTCTGATAATGATGATACTGACGACGATAATTAAAAGCAGATACAGTCGCATTACCCATCTTGTTATGTTCCATCAATGTATAATGTTGTTTATCCAATATAGTAATTAACGATGCATGATGTTCAATCATTGATGTCCAGATATTTGTCCATTGTTTATTTCGCTTTATATGCTGGTCAATCATACCTGATGCTTGAATGTTATTTTTATGTCTTCTAAATGTGCTATGCGTGCTACTGTTTGAGATCGTAGACGAAGTGGATATCTTCATGTCTCTTAACGAATGTTCAAATCCAGTACAAACAGGCGCAAACACAGTGGCTAATGCTTCTGGAGACATCATATTACGATTGACGTGATCTTGAATTTTTCCTGCCATGATCAGAATAGCGTGTATTAATTGTCGGTTGTAAAAGGGTAACTTGATGAGAATAGAAGATATTTGTTGAATAGCATTGGGTTGTTCAAGGTCTTTATATTTATATATTTATAATGTTAATCACTTGATTATATGTTTATATATATATATATATATATATAATATATGTATATATAAATATATCTACCTATAGCTTGTAGTTCCTCATGGAATGCATTTGGAATAACAGGTTCAGGTAATTCACGCAAATATTTTTTGACAAGGCTGGTGAGTGTATGAATGTCATAGTGAGATAAATCAATCAGCTTTCTTTCTTCTGCTGTACACATATTGATCTTGTTTTCAAGTGATACAACCTCTGCTGTTGCACCCGATAGACGAAACAATCCCTCTGTGCCGAGGCCTATTGACTCTGTTTGTTATATGTCTACGAGATAATACTTGACTTACCTCTTTTGCATATCTCAAGAAAGCATAGATAGACTGGATCAGGCACACAAAGATCCCAAAGAAATGAGCCTGATTTAGCAGCATCACATAATGGAACACCAAATATTCCTATAGTATGTCAATACATATACATTTATTGACCCTATGTTCTACCTTCATGAAAGTATGCGTCTATTCCATGTTTTTGTTTTGTAAATAGCATATTGAATATTTTCATATGCTTCTTTTTTGTAGATGTATTAGATGTTGGCTGGTGCATATCTTAAATAAAGGAAAAGAGGGAAAGAAGAAGAAAAAAATAGACAGTGACAATAAACCTTTTTATACGATACTCTCTATGATTTCGACATTTGTTATTTGTGACTTATATGGATTAACTTTTTGGGATCTATATATAGAAATGTTTTATGGTTTCCTTTTATATCTTGAAAATATAGAGACACTTGTATGTGTTAAAGAAGATCGTTTGACGTTGTTATTATTTAACCTTGAAAAGTAACGTCTAAAATAACTAAATTACACAAAAGATTTCATTATGCATAACTTTATAATGTTTTTATTTATCTTTCTCTTTTTTTATTATCTTATTGTTATCACCTGTGGCTCCTCAGTCTCAATTGCTTCATTAGATTCAAAACCTAACCAAGTCATTTGTAGTAAATCTTCTTTTCACAAGACAATAACAACAGCGGATATATCTATTGCCCACTGCTTTTATTTTTATATCCCTGGTAAAGCTAACCAAACCTTACGTCATGATCGCCAGAATAAAATATATATATTGCGCGGGCAGAAATCAAAAACAGAATCTTGACACCTGTTAAAATTTATGCAATTTATGCCCTTACAGTGTACGGCATTATACACTATTACCGAGCAATGACACATTAAACGCAGAAGTAGACCGTTATGCCCCAAACACGGCAATAGAAACAAGGCTGTATCCTTTTTCATGTTTCGATAATGTAATGTATAAATGTAAAAAGGGCTACAACAAAAATATAAAGAGGCGTATATGGTTTATATGGGATATGCTTGAAGAAGAAAGGGTAAAGCACAATGTTTGATGATATAAACGGTGTTTAATGAAGCTAGTCGGCATTTTCTTCTTTTACTACCAATAAAGATAACCTTTAAAAAAAAAAATGCTGTTTTCAGGGCACGTTTTTCTGTACACTTATGGAAAAGCCTACCACATCGGAGAAGACGAGACGGAGTCTACCAAGATTGGAATAAGTATGTTAGACATTCATATTGACAAAGACGAAACTAAAGATAGTTCAATGACAAGATGCCTGTTTTATTGCATATTCCCTCTCTACAAGTAAAATGCATATCATCTTGCTTACTATAATAGAATGTTTTTATTACCATGGCAATAGAGCTCATATCGGGGAATGAATTGATTCAATCTCACTTCTCTCTCTTGTTCTGTGTCTGTGTATCTCTTTTTCCCTTTTTCAAGATGAAATTCTTGTTATTATGGTTGTTTACAATAACTTTCGTATTTGGTATTGATTTTAAAAATAAACAAGAGCATTCAAATTATGGTGAACAAAAGCATAATAAAGCGTAATGCAAACTATTTGATATGATTATGTAATTAACACGCAATAATAGACACATTCAAGAGCATTTGAATGCATTATCTAATAATACTGATCAACCTTTACCTGATTTAAAGGATGAAGATATGGTCTATTATCTATTCTTAATCCATGACCAAAACGGTGACGGTTTCTTGGACGGTCACGAACTAAGACAAGCTTTTACAGATTTCGGTCATGATGAAGATGTCTCGAAATATTTATCGCTTGATGAAATAACTGAAATGGTTGACCATGTCTTGGAGGAAGACGATCTCAATGGAGAGTAAGTTGCTCTTTTTGCTTTTATAAACTTTATTTCTTATATTCTTCATAGTGGTCTCATAAGCTGGTCTGAATATCTTGAGTCACAAACATATCACAGTCAGTCTTGATCCCTAACTGCCAACACCCCCTTCAAAAATAAACTTTTTAAGCTTGCATTTACGTCATTTAAAGGAAACGTGTCTACAACGTGCGATATATACCTCGGCTAATGTATAAAAATAAAAGCAATATCAAGTCTGGATGAACATAACTCTGTAATAATAAAAAGATGTATTTTCTGAAACGCGTTTTAAATATGTATACATAAAGTGTAACCCCCTTCTTATTTATTTATATATCAAACTAGTTTTATATATCTATTGAATCTAGTTTCATCATGTGTGTGTTTATAAGCTTGCTTTATGGTGAAACTTTAGGATACGGAAATATAAACTAATATATACATATGTGATCATTCCAGGCTCTTGTAATACGGTTTAGACTCAAAAGCAGTCGATCTCCGTGACAAACAATGGCAATTGTTTGTTTGTTTGTTTGGATACAATGTTTATATTGGAATAAAGTTTCTCTTTTGTCCTACGATTGATTGAAACAGAAGATAGTAAAGATGTTTGATATCACCATTACATTCTATCATGTATCACATTGTACTAGACTGGAGCATCATTATAATCAATTTTACATGTGAGCGAACAAATAGCAAAGAGCCGATGAGGATATGGTCATGTGATTGTACATCGTCGACATCAATCATCTATCCTCAGCGTTTTCATTGTTTCCCTGATAAGTCGGAATAACATCCAAAGCAAATGCGAGTATATGTGTACGACATGAGATGGTACCGTTTCTTACTTGAAGAAAGGTACCACCGTCGTTCAATCCAGTTCTCATATGATCACTTGCATTGTGCATTCTATAAAACGATCGCTCCTTTCTTTTCTTCTTTTTTCCCTTTCATTCTTTACGGCAAGAAAAAATAAAACAAATGTCAAGCATCATCAAACCATCGAGCTTCAATCGATCTTCTCCGGTGATATTTCCATCGGCTTCACCTACACCCAAGCTCTACATGACTCCTTCAAAAAAGATACCCGAAGTGACGCCATGGCAGGAGATGGCTTTTGATGCCTACCATAGTCCTAATATATTCAGCTATGAAGATAGTATACTCAAGATGAAGGAAAGATACCAATTGTCAACAACCATATCACCCCTTTCTATCATCGACCCCATGGATGATCTTGATCCTCAATTGAATGAAGAAGATCTACTTTCCTTCCCATCAAGCGCTGAAAACGAAATAATCATCGGATCTCCCTTCATTCCTTCACCGGTGCAAGATCCGATTGCTGAAAGATTGAGACAGTCGACAGATACTACATCAAATAAAGCACAGATGAAATCAAGCAAGCTAGCTTTTAGCAAAGAATTTATACAAAAGGTGAAAAAATCCACAATTGGCATTTAATAATGATATATGTATTTAAATGAACAAGTGTGTGTGTATATAAATAAACAAATTATTTCTTGTTCTTTCTTAATGTTGATTCTTCATCCCAGTCTGCAAAATCAAAATCACTTTCTTCTTCGTCATCATGTTCATCATCAATCGTAAAATGATGATGGTCTGATGGTTTGTTTCCTTCAGGCCCAGGCTGTGATTCTTCAAAGTTTTCTTCAGCTTCAAAGAGAGTAGGTGTCTCAACCACTAATTCATCCCTATATGCATTTCACTCAGACATTATTTCTTTCATATCATTTCATAAAACTTACAGCTCATTCGTTTCGTCTTGGTCACCTAAACGTAATATCTTTCGATTGTTCGTTTTGCGACTGACTAAGTTCTTCAAATAGCCCATCACGCCTTGCTTGCGAACCCCTTCACGTTCACGTTGGGGAGCTCCGCCGAATTTGGCAGTTGGGGAAGGTCGTCTGCTTCCGAAGCACCAACAGCATAAAGCAAGAGCTACAAATAGAACAACGACAAATACCCCTGTGCCCCAGTTATAGTATTTAGACCGTCCATTTGTTGGTTCTTGTTCAATTGCTTGTTCCTTGTCCTCTTGTTTTGTATCTTTATCTGATGGCTTGTCCTCCTTCTCCTCTTCTTCTTCTTCTTTATCTGATGGCTTCTCCTTTCCTTTATTATCTGCTTGGCTATGCTCAACTTGAATAAAGCGATTGATCATATCAAGGCATTCTGTGGGTTTATCATATGGAACCATGTGACTACCGTCTTTGATCATCACATAAGTCAAATTACGATCCCGGGTGACATATCCGGCAAGCTTATCATTCACCTTCCATTCTTCCTTTTTGGTTCCTTTCTACTCAACAACGTCAGTGCGCGCTCGTCACGTTTTATTTTTGTTACCTTAAATCCCTTTGACCCATTCCAGGTCATGTTACCAATTAAGTACTCGATACCCAATGTATTACATACTAGGTCATACTCCCCGCTGATAGAACGTATTATGTTCTTATTCTCTTCTCTTCATTAGATTGACTTACTTGTATAATAGCACAGGAATTTCTTCCAGAATATCAGGTAGTAACTATAGTTTGAACTTGATCAACATGGAGAAATTCTAAATGGAAGATACTTACATAATAAGATGAGCTGCTCTCATCCCCATTAAGTTCTATTGAAACAAGCGATGTACATTCTTTCCAGCCCAATGATTGCTTCTCTGCATGAATAGCTCGTTTAACTTCATCAAGCTAAAGAGAAAATATGAGTTTATGCTTTCATTTGAGGTACAGTTACACTTACTCTCAGGTATCGGGTGACATCTGCAAGCTCATATGGCCAGCTCAATCCACATTCTGGATAGGGCTCGTCTTTCATTCGTATGTCATACACATTCAGACAGACCTTCTTCATATCCTTGTTCCTAACATTCACTTGTGAGATTTTTTTAGTCAGCATGCTCTCTCAGAACAACTTACTCTCGAATATTGCTGTCTGTCACGTCTGTCAGCACTTTTTCGCAAGAGGAAATATGTATGGTTTCTTTCTTGGCAATATCTCGTTGACATTCTTTGAAATGTGATTCTATCAAATCCATACGATTGTCCGACACGAGGCCATGCTGTATACTAAAATCATAATAAGCGCTATACTTTATGATTAGTCAATACACAACATGAACACGGTCAATGTATTTCTTTTTTTTAATTTTTACTTGATGTTTTGCAGATATCCAACCATTTCCAATAGCGATTCCTTTCAGCTTAAACGGTTGATCTCTTTCTCTATTTAACTTTAATATACGATTTGCAAAATAAGGAATATATGAGCCAGCAAAGCTTTCACCAGCGATATACAAGTCTTGCTGACGGAGTTTTGGGAATATCTCATATAGTTTATCCATAAACTGGACAAACTCTTCAGTGATCTGCGTCATATTATGCATGTAGCTATCCCAGTCTGCAAAACTGTAACCTGTTCCGACAGGCTGGTCCACTGAAAAAGGCAAGACGCGTCAGGTTCCATTGAAACACGTATGAATAAAATGATATTTACCGTATATGTTGGTAGCATACTTTTGCCATCCACCTTTATTGATGCTTAGTGATAAATCCTTCTTGACTCTAAAAGGACCGTTTTCCAAAAATAGACCATCCATACTATAAAGAGGGATGAATTGACTGCATAGGCTTCATCTATAGATTTACCTTGAACACCCAGGTCCACCATTAAGCCATATAATCTATCATTTACATTTAATAAACTGTAAATAAGATGCATACTTGATCTACATACAAGTTTCTGAGGATCTGTCTTTTCTTCTTGTTCCACCATCCAAAAGAAGATGTTTGAGTTACTCTTCTTGGACAGCTCGATATGTCTTTAATATGGCACATGAGTATTCTATGTTGTTTTTGTTCTTTGTTTATTTACCCAGCGTATTGCGAAAACTTTAGTGTGGTGATATCAATACCAGGCAAAGACTGTATTTTGTACTCATCCGCTATTCCAAATAAAGTACGAGTTAGACATCAGCATGGACTGACAAGTGTTAAAGTACCATTTTGACAAAAAACTCCTGCAATTGCAAAGAATACTGCAAGTAACGGCTTTCTCATGATCGCAATAGCAAGAAAGCGAGGAAAGAAAAAAGCGAAAACAACTATGAAATTGGGCTGAAAAAGCTAGACACACCCAAAATTGACTGAAGTTCAATTGCTGTCTGTACCTGTTTATAGGTCAACACTGCATACACTAGAAAATGCATCAGAAAATAGGTTAATGCTACAGGCGCCGTCTAACCCAAGAATGTCTAATGGAATATTCTTTAATGTAAAATACGAATTTATCATAATTACACTTAACGATCTTGGTTCTTTGCTGATCAAACTGACAACATAAAAAATTAAAGCACTTTTCTTTTCTATCTCTTTCTTCTTTAAATCAAGATGAGAACTTTATAAATTGGTATTCAACATGAACTCTTGAGTAAGCTTAATGTGGTATTACGCATTGACAAGTTTTGCTGACCAACTATCATCAGCACTAACCATGGATAAAGAACTGTATCAATTGATCAAAAGATATCTGAAGCCAAAGCAAGCCATTAGCATTGTGTTGAAAAGTTCTCTGAAAAAATAATGTTTTCTGTAAGTATTATATTTATTCACAAATTTCATGCAACTAGATCATCTTTATTTGTAATTTAAGGCAAATATCCGCGAAATGGAAAATAACATTGAAGAGACAAAGCTCGTAGAGGGCGATGAAAAGACACGTCGCTTCATGAAGAAAATCTTTACTATAATGTAAGTACACACTATACAATAAATTGTTTTTTAATAAAATTCGTATTAGGGCCTACGTCTTCAGAAAGACACCTTCATGATCATACTCTGAGGCTGTCTTCAATTCAAACATGATCTTTCCATGTTTGATGGCCACTATTTCAATGATGGAACACCAATATGCCCCCTACTTTGTTCCAGAAGAGGAAAAGTTGACGTCTGTGACAACTTATCTCATTAAAATAGGTGTCAAAGTAGATAAAAGAATGAACTACAAGGCTGATGACGTTGTTCGCCTTACGAGACTTCAAAACTTGGAAGTAATGGCCCTAGAGACTGCAGATCCTTACGATCGTCAGGAACAAACAAAGGCGGCTTCTGACAATTCAAAAGGGATGCTCGTTCTTCTTGCCATGTTGAAAACGGTGGGAGATACATTTGAAAACGCTGAAGTAGAGCAATTCAAAAATTTAAAGTTGTATCTACTCCAACCAAGTGGTAATGGCATCCTTTCAAATTTAATGTTTTTACTAACGAATTCATTTTTAAAATGTAAGCAAATAGCTTCGACTGTGATCAATGAAGTACGCCCAAAATGAGCTGTATAGCTTTGTTCGCGAATCGAATGTGATCGTAGGTCAAGAATTCGAGGAAAAGGGGGATTCCCTATTGCCCTTGGTCAACTTCTTCTTGGATATCAAGGTACAATCTAAATCTTAACTAACTTGCGAGAAAACACTGTTATGGAACATAATTGAGTTGTGTAGAACCGTCTCGAGAAGACAATGGAGACTCTTTTGCTGCTCGAGGAGGAGCATAAAACGGCCTAGGAAAACGAAGAATGCAGCCAAATCGTGCCTCTTTCAACAGTCATAGCTCCGAAAGTATCTCGATTAAGCTTCAACAGCCACTCCAAAAGCTTTGGCGATGAGCATTTAAAGAGTTCATCTGACAGTGACTATTAAAACTTCTTTTTTATCACAAATATCCATATTTCGAATTATTATTTACATGCATATAAAATTTAGATATCTTTACCTGTAACAATCTACGTAAAATGCAAACTGTGCTTACTACAGCGATGCGTTGCTCTACATCACTTTCTTAACTTTGGCCCAAAAACAAAAACTTACGGTATGGAATCATATTGCACGACATAACAGCTTTGATTCGAAAATATGCATCAAAAAAAAAAAAAAAAAGGAGCAGGATCAACAAAGAGCACTGCTTATATAGGACTCAAGCTATGTATTATCCAGAATATGTTTATTGAAACTTCCAAACCTCTTTTGACGACAAGCCCAGCTGCGATAATAACCCAGAGAGTTGACCTTGTGAATAATCCATTGCTCTTTCCCCAGAGATCCATCTAAGCATAGGATCAGGGCCACATACAAACACTTTTCGACGTACGTTTTCATCCTGGGACATCATGCTCTTGATCATTTCCTTTGTAACATATCCAACATCCTTCCAGTTGTCATCGGGCGGATGCTCAAGCACATACTTGATATTCAGTCTATCACTATATTTTTTTTGTAATTCATCTAATTCTGATTTCAACAATATATCGTTCATAGTCTTATTTCCGTATATGAGCCAGATACGCGTACTCTTATCGTTAGGATTTTCTAGAATATGACATATTATTTGATACATGGGAGATATACCAGTACCTCCAGCAATCTACAGCAACAGAATGCGTTGAATATATGTGACTCTTGACAGTATTTCCTTTCAATTTACCATGCCAATCTCGTCTAGCGAGTTTTCTCTATATTCATACTCTTCTGCCATAGGTCCTCTAATATGAATTTGATCAGCCTGTGGTTCGAAGCCAGAGATCGTACGTGAAACAGATCCATTTTCATATCTCTTGACAATAAAATCTATATATCCATCCTTATAAGGATTTGCGTTAATGGGGGTGTAGGGACGCATGACTTGAATAGTATCATCTTTTATATAAAGGCAGGAAGGAATTGGGTATGGTTTATTCTTCTCCTGCTTGATTGATACACGCAGACGATAAGAGTCGGGTGATATCTTTTGTTTTTGTACAAGGTCGAATGGTATATATCTATCAGGGTTCAATGCTTTTGGACCCTTATTCTCAAAGTACTGCCAGCCGTAGTATCCAAGACATACTGTGGCCAGAATAGCTGCTGTTGTTGTTGCTACTGGCAGAGACTGCTTCTTTTTATTGCTTAATATTGATGTAGTAAAAGATCTATGTTGACAAGTAGAAATGAAGCTACGGCAGAGAGGTCTGAACATGATGATCTAGAGATCAATAATAAAAGAAATAAAACAGAGGGGTACTTTTTGACAGGGTCATCTACCTAAATTGAGACGGTCGGAAATAATTTTTGGGCGAATTAAAATAAGCTTTCAGACAAACAGAGCTTTGACGCGGATTAGAAAAAATACACTTGTTTTATTTGTAGAAAACTATTTGTGTTAAGTGTAAAAGCCAATGGGATAAAAGAATAATGTGTTTATTAAGTAAATTCTCTATTGGCTTTTATATATGGTTATTGATGCGTAAAAGCTTTACTTTTCTACACTTTGTGAGGGTTTTCATTTAATGTCAAAGTGCTACCCCTTACAATTATACCTCAGCAAAGCTTCTAGCCCATTTATATAAGTGAGTTCCAAATTGATAAGCTATGTATACTATGTATCTAGTGTGTAAATACCACAGACCATCTCTTCCAAGGCTCTTTATTGCCCCTGGTAGAGGTAGAGTTTATTTCTTGCAGTACCACTTTTATAAAATCTAAATCATTTCATCAAGTTGTAGAGACCATAAATTGTGTACACAGCGTACTGTCTAGTTGACGCAGGTCGTGGGTAAATGCCTTTAACACTGCTGATACTATAGCTATTGGCCCGAACTTGAATGATGACGAGAGGATTAAAGAAAAGAGTCTTGGTAGATCAGGCGTAATTTCTGGATTTTGTTGCACGTTGCGGTGTTCTTCTTCGCACAAAGCTAAGATGCACCTCATCTTGGGAATATAGGAACCTGATGATCGAAGTGTGTTATCTACCTTTTCTTTAAACACTACACTATATGTGTAGACGGTGTACCTTTGGGGCTACATCTGTACTTTCGAGTATAGACTAACTTTAAACTGATAATTACCTGGTTGATCCTGCTAGTATATTTATAAAATATATGTGAAGGAAGAAAAACCTAAAAGTTGTCAAATGCATATTATTCTTTTTTATATTAATTAACCAGTGCTAGAATATCTTGCGTTTTACTTTTAACGAAAACGCAACTCTTTATATAGTTTTATAGATGTCGTATATTTAATCCTGCTTCTTTAGCTTTTGTTAAGCAATCTTTCTATGAGCTGTATGACGAAAGGATAAGGAGCTTCAGTCTCTTTTAATGATAACCCCCAGCCAGAGATAGAGTGAAGCTTTGCATGAATGAACAGTGCCTGAGGTATTCTATGGTCTTTATCAATTCCATTATATTCTAAACCTCATTTATTGCAAAGATTAATATATTTTAAGAGTGATCATGCTTACTGAGAATGACCAATAAAAGTCCGTTTCTAAAAAAGAAGTGATACCAGGACACAGACGAGTTTATTGTTTTGGAACCGTGGCGTAACAGAAAAATCTTTTTTTCTCTCCCTTTCTTTGATTTATGAATAATGAAGAGAACAAGCAGTACAAGTAGTGGAATGGTAAATAAACAAGAAAAGAAAAGATAAAAGGTTAACCCTTGAGTCTATAGTCGGGCGAAATTGAGCAAGTTGTAACAAAACTACTTCGAACAACCAAAGCTTTATTAGAAGCCTTGACTCAGTGGTCAAACATGAGAGCTTCTAATGCTGAAATATTTGAAATTCATGACACACTTGAAAAGCAATTCTTTCTTGTCTCTCAAGCATTTGAAGAAGCAGGTGTTTCAATGAAGTAAAAAAGAAGCATATTTTAAGTAACCCAAAATAAACTAATATGTGTATTCTATAGTGACTTACAGTGGATTCCAAGACAGTTACGGGAGTCAGTATCTATTGCCATGATGGAGCAGCCTTCACCAGCTGCCTTAGACCAATACTTGCCTCGTATAAGAGAAGTTATCGTTCACTTGCTTCATGGACTGAAAGGAAAACAAGCACAACTGCGAGAGAAAGATAGAGAATCACGTGCATCCATACGCTCATCCAGCAACAGCGACGCATGGAATCGAGAAGTACCATTAGCAGCACTTAACAGAGGCAGCAGCACAAGTAGTAATGGATCGCAACGTATGATGATGTATCCCAATAATTCACCACCTTTGCCTCCCATGTCTTCTCCACGCATGAATGGCGCAGAATATGATACATGGTCAGGTGGTATGCCTCGGCCATCAGTTCCTACGAACGACCTATCAGCAAGAATCATGCCCAAACGTCCTTACTCACCCCCACCCCCACCTCACGGTTCACCTATGATGCCCCTACCAACCCGCTCGACATCATCCAGCAGACAACATATCCCCAACCCTCCTCCTCCTCCACCAGCACCTCCTAGTAACAACGTGAATAACCAACCACAGACATTTGATGAGAACGACCCAAACACAGCCAGTGCTCTGGCTGCTCTGAAGCGACAAGAAAACCTTGCCAGAAGATCATCTGTTCGTCGTGCTTCGATGTATAGAGGAAACAGCGACTACTACACAAGTATATCCTCTCGAATGCAAGATACACCGCCTGTGCCCGCGCTACCTAAAAGTCAATTAGCACGCGCTGTACCAGAAGAACCAGAGGAGAGTCATGAAGAGGAAGAAAAAGGACTGACGTTGTTCCTTCAGATCGGCAAACAAGTGAAAAAGACGGTATATCAAGGAGAGATCAGTATTCCTGCCCTCAATATGCTCTTTGTCGAAAAATTCAATTATACATCACGTCAAAACGATTTTCCCAACATTTATATTCGTGATCCATCTATTGGTGTATCCTACGAACTGACAGATCTAAGTGAAGTAAAGGACAAGTCGGTACTCTCTTTGAATATTGATGGTAAGGAGAATGTGTAAATAGTGTGAATTTGTTATTAACTCTTCTTAGAACAAGAGGAGCAAAAGGAGAGTCATAAGGAATGGATATTGAAGTTATCTGCTTCATTTGAGGAACAATTGAAAGGAGCGACACAATCATTCACACAACAGATAGAACAGGTGAAGAAACAGTTAGAGTCATCGAATGAGACACTGATTGAACAAATCACAAGTCAAATCATGGTCGAGAAGAATAATAGACAAGAAGAGGAGCCAGCCAAGGAGGAAGAGAAGAAGAAAGAAGAACAGGAAGAAGAGAAGAAGGAGGAGATGCCAGCACAAAAGATGTATGATCAAGGGCAAGTTAAGAAACAACTGATTGAGATTGAAAGTCTGAAACGTGATCTTGCTGTTATTCGCCAATTGGATCGTGAGCGTAAAGAAGAAACGAGCCAGATAATTCAGGAGATAAGGGCTAAGGCTGCCTCACTTACCAAAGCAAACGAACAAGACATCAAGGTCATATCAGCACGATCTGCTTTGGAGGAAGGAAAGAAGGGACTTTTAGAGAAATCAGACAAGATCACAACCCGTTTAGAGGAATTGCAGGACACGATTGATCAACTGAAACTAGATGTCACTCAAAGAAAATGCCGTCCTTCTGAGATACAAATGACTCACTGTGCCAAGGAACGTAGAGAACTTTCAAAGGATATTGAGGAGTTTGGAGCATTCATTGCACAGGTGAAGCCAAAGTGGAAGAAAACATGGGAGCATGAATTGCAAACGATTGTGAAGGAACAACAGACATTAAAGGATCAGGAGTATTTGCTGACAGATATCAAGGATGACCTTGAAGCACTCTCTGAGGTGTTTGAACAATTGGAAAAGATTTATGCTTATCAAGCTAGCGCCAAGCCAGTCGTCAGGGAATTTCGAGTTGTACCTGCCGAGGATGGCCATGAGGGCATGTCGAGTGTATTAAAACAAGTAGCGACGATTGATGTGGATCATGAACGTCGACTAAGGGCTATGGAGCAAGCAGATAAGATGAGGCAAAGGGAATTAGCCAATCGTATTGATGATTTTGAAAAAGAGTTGGTTACTTTTGTTGATACCAAAAAACTAAAGAAGACAGGAGGAGCATTGGAGATTGATAGATTACGTAAACAAAAGGATGAAGAAATACTCAAACAAATATATGCTTCAAAAGCAGCAGGAAGTAATACGAATAACAATCAAGAGCAACCACCAGAAACGGAACCAGAAACGGAGGAAGTTGAAGCGAGTGAAGCATAATAAAAAGATTCTAGACTTTTTTACCTGTTTCTTTGTTGGACTGTGCGCACCCTGCCTTGGGTCGGTTGTTGAAAAATCCTAAAATGGTAAAATCCTTTTATTTTTGATTTGTCTTGCTTTGAGTAAAGACCGGAAAATATATAAACTGAACATTGTCTTCTTTTTCATTTTAATTCTTCATGTCTTCGCTTCATTTACCTTCCTTTAATAACAAACTAAAGAAAAAACCCTCGTTTATATTAGAAAAACGTCCCAATTTAGAAAGATCAGTTAGCAACAGTAGCACACTATCCAAAGTTAGAAGATTTGGCTCAAAATTAATAAGAAGCAAATCACAAAGAATCATATCTTCACCATCATCACCTCAAGAAGCATCAACGTCCTTTGAATTAAATATATCTCCTACATTCAATAGGGATAGCCGATCCTCCTTGGTTGCATCCTTGAATGAAAGCACTTCATCTATAGAAGAACACGTCAAAACGCCGACAACTGCTGATTTCTGTCAGACGTCATTTGCCTTTAATATTGAGCACCCTAGTGATCAAGAAGATGAACAAGAAGAAGAAGATGATGATGATGAAGTAGACGAAAGCACACTATCTACTGTATCGCTGGTTCGATACCATTTATCTATGGCACTGAAGCAAGTAGACGAAGAAATTGACGATGAATTACAAATCTCTCATGAAATGATGCTAAGGAACTTAAAATCATGCCCCAGGATATCATTTAAATAAAACGAATAATTATAAGACTTTATTATTATTATTATTTGTTATAGCTGTTGTTGTAGGTAATAGTTCGATATTATTAAGTTTACTTTCTCGCTTGTCTACTTCCTGCTTGGCCTTTTGATACATGTATAAGCCTAAAAAGGTCAACAGTATACCTAAGCCCTGTGTAATAGATACAGTCTGTCCAAACCAGAGGATACTCATCACAATCACAAATATACGCTTGACAAGTGAAGCAACAGAATAAGTGACTGGCGATGATAGGCTGAGGGTAGTAAATGCAAACCAATTCTGAGCAAAATGTGTTGTACCATTCAACAAAAAGTAACCAATCAATGTCATGTTGATACCTTGACTGTTGTCATGGCTACCACTCAACAAGTGATATCCATCCGAATAAATCCAGAGAGGTATCATGAGCGTAAATGAGATAAAAGAAGAATAGAACATCATGTTCATCTTGTCTAGTTTGTTATAGTCTCCAATCTTGCTATTCTCTCTTGATATCAGTTTCTTACTAAATATGTTTTGCATTACAAAGACAAGACATGATGCGAGTGCACAAGCGAGGCCCAGGATATTTTTAGAAAATGTGAATGAACATGCCAAAATGACTCCGAGTGTAAGTGGCATTAATGCTGTATATACTTGAGATGAATATCTAACTTGAAAGATAAATCTATAAAACATGACGGTAAAAAGTGGAGCCAATGCCTCTTTTATCACTTGCACCTTAGTTCACACACACTTTTTTGTTTCTTGTTTTTTTTTTTTTTTGTTTACCTTGATTGTATGTACTAGACTTACAGGAATCTTGCTAATGGATATACTGGAAAATATATGCCCCACAATCATAAATAGAGATAAAGGAACAATTGTTTCTATAATCTGTCTAGTTGGCTTCTTGATACTTCTTGAACTAACAAAATTCTCGACGATAAAGCACCAGCAGGCGACAAATAAGAACTGAACAAAGGTCAACGTTACTGGATACTTGAATAGATTCATAATCTGTTTTCCTGTGTTGCTGGACAAGGAAGAAGAAAGGTACCACATGAAGCAGCATGCCATGAATCTAGTGTTTTCTGACAAGTTCAACTTGTTGGCTATAGTCGTCATCTTGGGTAATTCTCTAATTTTAAATTTCTCATCCTTATCATTTAATAAGATGGCTGGCATCTTTAAGAGAGACAAACTAATTCGAGAAACTATTGGCAAATTTATTGTCTGAGTATGAACTATTTTTTCTTAAAGCCATCTTTTTTTTTGGCCCAATCAAAGCCGAAAAGTGCACCATCCTAAAACGAGACGATTGGAAATTAAAAAGATTAATCAAAGCTTTCAAACACTTGTATACACTCTGTGTAGCTAATTTCTGTGCTTTTAAATTAAAGTATATTAATAAACGGACCAAGATGTTTCTCATCAGCAGACTGGCTAAAAGGACTTGAAAGTAAACAAAAAGAAGGACCACTAATGACAGCCGCTCCTTTCACTCACATTCTTTGACTGTTCTCAATGAGTGAGTTTGTTGCACAATATACCTACAAGCAGGCGTATCTGATCAAACTATCATCATTATTACATTTAATCATTCTTTGTTGATCGAATTTGGACAATGCAAAATAAAATACAATAAAAACACTTCTTATCTGTTGAGAACTTTTTATACAAAAGAGAATGCTCTTGAAGAAAATTCTGCGTTTATATGATTTCTAGTTTACACATGCGTATATGAACAAATATAATTATAATTAAGCAAGCAAGGACTTGCCAGTCATTTCCTTGGGGATATGAAGTCCCATGTAATCAAGAACAGTAGGGGCAACATCACAGAGAGCACCAGCTTCAGATCCTTCTTTAAACTTCTTGCCTTGGTCATTTACCATAACAAAAGGCACCTTGGCACAGGTGTGAGCAGTGAAAGGACTCTTGCCATCATCGGCCAACATCTTTTCAGCGTTACCGTGATCGGCAGTGATGAAGAGGGCATAGCCATTCTTTTGACAAGCTTCAAGTATAACACCAATAGCCTTATCGGTAGCCTCAACGCCCTTAACGGCAGCCTCATAGACACCTGTGTGGCCAACCATATCAGGGGGAGCAAAGTTACACATGACGAAAGGATACTTGCTACTTTCAATAGCTTCAGCGACCTTGTCTGCAACGTCAGCGGCACTCATTTCGGGTTTCAAATCATATGTGGCCACCTTGGGAGAGTTTACCATGATACGTTCCTCAAGGTTGAACTGGGCTTCAGAACCACCGTTGAAGAAGAAAGTGACGTGTGCGTACTTTTCAGTTTCGGCAACGTGCATCTGAGGAATGTCATTCTTGCCTAACCATTCAGCAAGGACATTGTCCATGGATTGAGCAGGGAAGGCGACCTTAAAGGGGAAGTCGCTCTTGTATTGGGTCATGGTAAAGATTTCGAGATTCTTGGGAACAGGAGAATCAAATGGACAGGGAGAAATACCAAAGGCTTGGGAAATTTCACGCATACGATCAGCACGGAAGTTGAAACAGAAGATAGTATCATCGTCCTTAATTTGACCTTCCTTGTTGATGATGATGGGCTTCAAGAATTCATCAGTTTCATTCTTTGCGTAGCGGTCCTCAATTGCCTGAACGGGATCAGAAGCTTCCTCTCCCTTGGCTTGGGTCATACCATCAAAAGCGATTTGAACACGTTCCCAACGCTTGTCACGGTCCATGGCATAGTAACGACCAGTGACATCAGCGATCTTACCGTATTGGAGCTTATCCAAGGATTCCAATAGTTGCTTCATGTACTTGGAAGCAGACTTGGGGTCTGTGTCACGTCCGTCACCAAAGAAGTGAATGTAGGATTCGGGTACTCCAGCGTCCCTGGCAGCTTCTAATAATGACACAAGATGATCGATATGAGCGTGGACACCACCATCAGAAACAAGGCCCATGAAATGAAGACGACCGTTACTGTTCTTGGCACGCTCAAATGCGTTCTTGATGTTTTCAATTTGTCCGAATTCCTTCTTCTTCATGGTAAGGTCAATACGAACGATATCCTATTATAGAAAATATTAAACGTCACGCTCAATCTCGCTTCTATTTTTTTTCTTACTTGATACACGACGCGACCAGCACCGATGTTCAAGTGACCAACTTCAGAGTTACCCATCAAACCATCAGGAAGACCAACAGAAAGACCATGAGCAGCAATGCTTGTGAAAGAATGCTCTTTTTCTAATTTATCCATCACAGGTGTTTCAGCATTGTAAATAGCATCTCCCTTATGGTCTTCCTCGGGAGAAATACCCCAGCCGTCAATACAGATAAGACAGGCCTTGTTCTTGGGCGTTTGTTTAGTCTCGGGCACTTCACCTCCTCCAGGCATCTTGTTATTTTTAGAGAGAAAAAAAAAAGTTTATAAAGAAAAAAAGGAAAAAGAAAAGTAAAGAAAGACTTGTAAATGTATTTTGTAAAGTGTCACAAAGCCGTGACGCAAATATTTTTTTTATCTCTGAGTTTTTACAGATCAGACTGATTAAAGAAAGTAAAGGGACCTGTGATAAAGATTGGATAAGCCATGATCATTATTGTATTTACTAAGAAACCAGCCCGAGTAAATGATGTATAATTTGCTCCTTCTGTAAAGAACACACATCTATACATTACATCATATTATCTTGTTGAAATAACGCGCCATGTTTCCCAGACAAATAATAGTTTAGTTTCGAAATTACAGCCCAGAAAAAATCCATGTAATATAAGGTGACTTTACTGTTTTCTACTTTCCTTAATGATTTTTCCATAGTTACTCTTGGCTAAATAATTCTCATAACGAAACAAAAAGTTAACACAACAATAAGGAGATGTAGAAAAGTGACCAGTCGTTGTCATTCATTGTAAAACGTTACATAAGATTTTCTGCATGATTAGCATTTATAAAATGTACTGACTCTATCCTTTACTCTTGTAGGAACATGTCTTTGCTCTAATTGAGACTTATACACATATCACTGGTAATTCATGGGCTTATCGATACAGTTATTATGTATCATTGGTGTCTATTCCGTAAGTAATGAAGTCTCCAAAACTGTGACTGGATAAGATTTTATCACTGATCGGCTTGATTACCCAATAACAAAGAACCATGATTCTGAAATAACTGTAGACATATTTAAAAAGAAATGAAGTGTACATTGAGGGGAAAAGAGGAAACACAAAGCAGCAGCACAAATGTGAGAATCAGAAAAGTTAGGACTCAAGGCAAAACAGGTATGCAATCTAAGCAATATAATCAATGTGAGAGCAGCGCCTGGTACTGACGAACGTAAAATAGTAGATGAGGCTAACAGATAATGACTGTCTAGAGTAAGCTATCATAAGTGGACTATGCGATATTCTTAAGGTCAAAAATAACAGCCCATCTGCAAGAGCTTATTCATGTAGAAATATGATACTTGATTAAAATATAGAATTTATATGCTTTAAATAAATACTCATAGCTTGCTCATTTCTATCATGCTAAAAGAACCTCCTAATAGAAATGGTCCTGTATTTGGTTTTGGTTGTTGTATATTCTCTAAAGACTAGTTAACGCCTTTGCTTCAATAACAGAGGCAACACTACTCTAGTTGAAAATGTGAAAATTGATCCTGAAATAAGATGACAATCGTCACTCACTATCTAATAAAACCATAAAGGATAGCATGTCAACTAACTTTTCATATGTCGGACTTTCATCCTAAACGACGAACGGAGCTTGATACCTTTGGGGGTATCTTTCCAAAGAACGTCATCTTTTTTTTCTACTTTTTTTTGTAAGACGGGATAAAATGAAGTTGGTTAGGTAAAATCTATTGATTAAAACAAATGAGAAAATACTTATAGAATATAGATTCTTGATGAAACTGAATAATGAGACGGTCTCTATCGAATTAAAAAATGGAACAGTTGTCCATGGCACAATTACAGGCGTCGATATGAGTATGAATACACATTTGAAAACAGTAAAGATGACAGTAAAGAACAAAGATCCCGTCAGTTTGGACAGCCTCAGCGTACGTGGAAATAACGTTCGATGCATCATCCTTCCAGACAGTTTACCCTTAGACACGCTCTTGATTGATGATACACCCAAGTCAAAGAAAAAGAAAACCGAGGGTAATAAAGGGATATTTCTTGTTATTTTACTAATATATCTATAGATGGCGCAGGTCGTGGACGTGGACGTGGTTTGCGTGGTGGACGTGGATCTGCGCGTGGCAGAGGCAGACGTTAAATTTATTAAATAAAAAGAGGAAAAAAAAAGAGAAAGAGAAAAGCACATCTTTTGATATCGACACTATAAACAAGGAGAATTATAAAAAAGCCAAGGAGATACTCAAAGGAGATATAAAAAAAAAGATGGAGGTTAAAGGAGAGAACAGATGATATTTATTAATATTTCATGATTAATGATCGTTAATGTTTTTTTAAGGAGTTCAATATTACACTTTAGCGCGCTGTTGCTGCCTTGCTGAATGCCCCTGAACTCTTTCATGTCTACGTAGCGCATCCATTCTTGTAAATCTTTTGCCACAGACATCACAGTAACAGAATGGTCTATTTTCTAAATGAATTGTTTGATGACGAGAGAGATCATACGATCTTCGAAACGTCTGCCCACATAGTTTTCCTTTATCAGACACATGCTCACATAGAAAGAGACCAGTTGATGTGTGAATGGAAGAAGTAGAATGTCGTGTACGTTTGGCTGTTGGCTTGGTCTCTTCTGGTTCCTTTCGCAGGATGATTTCATTAAATGATGCTCTATGAGGATGATAGACAATAGGAGCTAACTGCTGCTTTTGTTCCAAATCATGCTGAGAAGTGATGGAGGATATGGCAGGTAATGTTAGTAGATAAGGTGATAGAGGAGGTGAAGAAGGAGCTGTAGATGGCCTACGTTTGACATCAAGGGGATGTAGACTGAATGTATCAATAAATGTATGGCTATTCTTTCGACTGCTAAGTAAAGGCGAAGTGCTTGAGGGATCTGGTAACTTTCTAGGGTGATCTGCCGACATGACACGTTGCTTTTTACGAAGAGGTTCATCCAATGAGATACCAGAATCTTTGCGATCGTCTGTGTAGTTATCATCATCATCATTGTTATTTGGCTTTACATTGGCAGGAAAAATGGTAGGTGTCCAGCGAAGTACTGTCGGTTTAATAACCGGTACTTGATTCATAGATTTTGGCTGACTGAACTGATGCACACCTGTATGTTTATAATTAGAAACAGGACACCTATACAACTTGAAGTCTATTACCTGAACTGTCAATCATGAAACTGCTTGGCCTATGGCAAAGTGTGATGTTTAATGTTTGTTGATCAGATGAGTATTGTAATGCATTTTTTAAAGTAACATTGTCGTATACTGCTACATTGTTATTCATTATAAGCTGGTAATCATTCAAATTGATATCCTATCAGTCCGTTTAGAAGGATCCCACATACAAAGCATATCTTTTGCTTACTTGAACAATACGCTGTATTTTTTTTACGAGGTCATTAAAAGAAGGTTCTTTATCTTTCAGTGTGTACAAATGGATTGGAAATGTCCGAGAATTGTCTTTGATCGAGATTCTATATCGATATGAGTTATCTTATATAACTTTCTCATTTTGTTTGTCTAACCTTAAACGATAAATTGCATTAAACATCATAAAGGATAGAATTAAAATGAATGGATATACTTGAAATGAAGGTAAATGGGGTTAAGTTATAAATAAAAAGAATGGAGAGAGACAAAAAGAAAAAGAAATAAAAAAAGGCACCTAGTATAATATCTTTTGTTTAAGGGGAGTGGCAAAGCTATTGTTCTCTTTTTCTTTTATATATAGGGGGTATGCTTATGTATATATATACATCTATAGGATAAAACAATAATGATTGATTCTAAAAGGGACTATATATGACCTGATATACATTTACATCCACTGCCCAACATCCACGCATATACACTCCTATTATGAACTATCTCCTCAATTTCAGATATACACACATGTGGCAACACAATTTGAGGCACCATTAGATCTCTTCCTCTCTCTCTTCTTTATTTATTTCTCGTTTAATCAAAAATGGGCGTAATCCAAATGACAAAAATATGTCAAGTGCTGATTACTTCTATGCAAATTAAGTAAACAAAATAAAGAAAAAGAGAGAAAACTCCTAAACACATGTGCCATGACTACATCTTTATACTCCTTATTTTCAGTTTATACAATAACTAGGATAGGCTATTGGTTAAACAGAAATAATAAAAAGTAGCCTTTTCATTGTTCATTGAAAGGTTATTAATCTTTTGTCTCTATGCAACCGTATCCATGTTTCACGTAGACCCTGAATTGTGTAACAAGGTCATTCTCTTCACTATGAATATAACTGCAGTTGTTTTTTCTAAAAAAAGTTAATAGGGAAAGAACTCCTTAGTTTACAAAAAGGCTCCTTTAAACGTGGAAAATAGTCTTGCGAGTCATTTTTAACTTATTTCATATTTTATATGAAATAAAGGAGTGTAAACTAACCTAGAAAATAGAAAATAATAGCCAAGCATATATCTAATTATTCGTACAAGCTTGAAAAGATAAATTGATGTTAAATAGGTCTTCTAAGGATGAACAACAGAAAGGTTTACCACTTGTAGTTTAAAAAAAATAAGAGAAAGAATAATTTGAATTAAGCAACACTTTTAATAAAGATCAAAGAATTAATTAAAATGTAATACTTCAACATATGTACGCTTTAGAACCTTAAGGGTTTTGCTTTATATGTAAGGAGATCCATTTTTAAATAACTTTTTTTTGATCTCCTGCGTTTATTATATGAATTACTTTTTTTTTTTATTGCATTAAATAGGGTTTTAACTTAAAAACATAAAGATAAGCCATACATTCTTTTACGTCATATAAATAACTTTTATAACACTTGATTGTATCCTATCCTTGGGATAGATGACTTATTTATAGTATTATATGGATGCCTACACTGTTAATTGATCTACTACCACTCTTCTCAATTAATTCATACGTTCGCTTCAATTTTTATTCCTTATTTTATTACAAATTTGCTTGAAATCCAGGAACTCGAACCACAATATGTGGTACATTGACTTCATTACAGTCATCTTCTGGTACCCCACTTTCATGTACAATAACAGCAAAATCTGTTATACAATCCAGTGCAATCATCGGATGATGCCAAACACCTTGGCGGTAATTAATACCTTGCGTTGAAGTGGCAATAAATGCTTTGATTGTAGACAGGTCTGGACGATCGTCTATACCATTCAGAGCAACTACGACCAAGTATCCACGAGTTCCGCCATTCGTCATGGGAATAAACGCTTGAGTTGAATAAGGATGACGTTCGAGTAGCTTGACTGTAAACGGAAGATCCTCTGTAGGCTTGCAACGAAAGATGCAAAGGTTCATCTTGCCATCACCTCTTGGAAACAGGTTGTTTACCTGGGCCACGTGATGATACTTGGATGCTGTACCCTGATTTGCGCCAGTCATACTACGTGCTCCAGGAGCATGAATTACGTCCCCATAAGGTGCGTAATCTTCAGTTGTGAGTGGTCGAGCGGTAATAGCCGATGGCTCAGCTTTAGGCAAAGGGTGAGTACTTTGGCTATAAGCATGGAAGCGAGCGATGCCACCATTAGAATGGGCACAAATACGAATATGAGATATCATCAAGCTTGGCTTCTTTAATTCAAAGAAATTGTGTGAAGAAGGTGAAAGCTCCACCTTGTCCAAGATTTTGATCCATTGAGCGTGATCTGCTTCAATACTGTCTGTAGGCTGATATGCGCACTCTACAGATACAATAAAGCCCTCTGTTATATGGAAATAGCTAGTATCTACATCAAATCCAGAAATATTGCTTGGATGGCCCAATCTAATAATACATACGTGTGCTGCTTTATCGCTTCCAATGCTGACTTCCCATCCATCTTTAAGTGAAGGTGCTATGAAATATATTAATAATCTAAATTGACCAAGCAAGACATTGCTTACGCTTTCCCTCTGTGTCTTTCGGTGGGCTTGCTTTAATGATCCTAAAAGCAGAATCATAAGCATTATTAGTGACAACAGCAATAGAAGAGCCATAGGCAATACTAGCAACGTCTATAGCGGAGTATATAAGTCTCTTTTTACGTTAAGCCTTTTTTCCTTTGCCTATACTTACCGGACTTTTGACTCAGATCTGATTTGATAAACTCTTGATGCTCCAATTGTTTGTATTCTAAAAAGGACATCTTTATTTTTTAATGATAAAAATAAAAAGAAGAAAGAAATACCTGAGTTCACTTTTTATCAGTATTCGTTGTTCTACAAATTGTGACCAATAGGATTACATTTATACCTGCCATTATCTGAACTCTCTTTTATAAAAATTATACCCTGTAGTGGGTAACAAGAAAATGAACATGATTATGCAGTCAACTGTCCACTTGAAAAAGATTGGCAGATTGAATACTTTACAAACATGTTAATTGACAGAGCATGTTGACTGCAGTAAGCAATAGTCACACTGCAGAAACTTTCAGGAACAGCACACAGATTGACATCTCTTGAACTTGTAAATGAAGATGTTATTATACGTATTAGCCTATGTAAATATATAAATATCTGTTGCACATAAAGTAGAATAGAACTGATCCTTATCTTTAAAGACACGGGAAATTACAATAACATCGGTGTCATTAGCCATCCTTTATTTTCGATCATTTCATTTAATTTATTTTGTTATTGGCGCCATCTTGACTACATTAGAAGCAAAAGTTCTAAAGCACATCATCAAGCAACCAAGGCCAGACTCATATAAACTGGACAATAAAAAGAAGGCATCGTATGGTATGCCTTCTTCACACTCCCAAGCAATAAGTTTCTTTGCTGCCTATTTCCAACTAGTCACCATGTCCCCCACACTACCCGAGCATTTCCGTCTGTTTGGATTATCTGCAAGCGCCTTAGCCGTTTTATTGAGCACCTTTTCTCTTGGCGTCATTTGGTCACGAGTACAGCTAGGACATCATACAATCTCTCAAGTAATGGTTGGTACAGTTTTAGGGACACTTTCTGCCTTGGTATGGTTTCGCCTTTGGCAAGTCTATTTTTCTCGATAAATAGTTTCAAAGGGAATGGAAGAAAGCATATAGCATTAAAGAAATACAGATTCAAAAGTAAATTTATTTATTAAACAAAATAAAGAGAAAAGAGGGGGAAGAAATGATTAAATTAAATACATAGATGCAATAGTGTACACAGCATGATATAAGGCAAACCGATAGCCTCATTATGCTACATGATCTGTGTGTCATTGTTTTCTTCACTTATGTTGCTTTGTGTTCTATAATTTTGATTGCTAAAGTAGCTGTTCCATTGATCGATATCAAATGACATTGGTATATCCCAAAAGGCTGTTCCAATAGCATTGAACGTACGATCACCGTTAGGATATGTATTGTTCATATTATACTCTATACTTTGATTTAATGACTGACTACTTGGTGAATCAGTTTGAAATGAAGATGTGCTTGCATATTGTGTCAGATATTCAGGAAAGCGTTGCTCTGCAGGATTCTGTGCATCCAGAGGGTTTCTAAACAAATCCAAAGACGGAACCTCAGGCTGAAGTACAGGTGAATTTGGTACCGCAATGGAAGGTGCCTTCTTGGTTTGTAATGACTGATTCTTGATCGCCTGACGATCAAATCCTTCTCCTACGTTTTCCAAGTTGATATCACGTAAGCCTGCTAGTTCTCCAAGAATATTACAATGGCGTGCAGAGGTGATCCATGTGGCCTCAACCTCATCCATAGCCCTTATGATCTTGTTCACACTCACTTTGGCTTCAAACGCAAACTCGGGATCGTTTGATGATGCATCGTTGATGAATATAATGCCTGCAGTAAACATGAAATAAAGTGTGTAGTTGTTTATGTTTTTCAATCGGCCATCGGCCATCAAGCATTCAACAATATCCAAAATTTTGTTGGCTGCAAACGTACAAATAGAAGCTGAAGGAAATACTGAAGGCGTTGCCCGCTGGTTAGGTCCTGGAATAAAGGGTCGATGTAATAGTATGAGTGTTGTATAGAATAGCATATGCGTTTGACACAGCTCCAACTTGGGTGGGGTTGACTTTTCGGCCATTCGTGTATTTGGTGGTTTGTATTGGACACTAGGAGGAAGTTTGGACATCCAGTTATTAAGTGCACGATCCAGTTTCGAAATCACACTGTCGGGTGAAGCCAATGTTGCTAGATGTCTTCTTCCCTTGACCATGTATAGCTGACAGAGAACTTCTCCCAAAATTTCACAGAGTTTGATTAGCTGATGAAAATTATCCATAATGGTTGGCTTATTATGCTCATCGTCTTTATCAACCTCAGAAGGATATGGTGTATCATAATCACGGTCATCAATCATGGGCGCTCGTCCGTGCATGGCACAACTTAAACGATCAATGACAAAAGAGCAATAAAATACACGTTTTCTTTCTTCTTTTTCTGCATTTGATAGATTCCATGAATCACAATTCCGATTTAATCCTAAGTTTTGACACATTCTAAAAGCCTGTATTTAAAAATATATGTTAGCTCGTTAGGTAAATTTTTTCCTTTTTCAAATATTCTCTTTTACCAAACCACTATATAACCAGCCTCGGATATTCTTTAATGCACCATTCTGATGGCTACTTAGCAACAGTAATGATTGTACTGTAGACACCTTGTAATCGTCCCATTCATGGTCCAGTAATATCCTTGCTCTTTCTAAAAATATATCCCCTGCTGTATCTCTCTGATCCGGATCTGATCTTACTCTAACATCGGGAGAAATACGTGAAGCAACAGCGTAAATTGCGTTTAATAGCAAGTGAGGTGGTCTTTTGTCGTTATTTTCGCTTTCAAGAGCTGCCAAGAACGTATCCTTATGCAAGAGTGGTAAGAGCGGATAGAAATGTGTAAAATATAAGTCCAATAGATGCTCAGAGAGATCAGATGGTGGAAGTTCATAGGGGTCAACAACAAGTGGATGCTTTGTTTCTCCTGATCGATATCCTCTAGAGTTGAAGTGAAACGCTCCATTCTGAAAGTTTTTGCTACCACGAAGCATATAAAATCCTGATGATTTACCGTAGTACCGCAATTGACCACTTTCATCGATAGATAGATTGCCTAGGTTATCATTGGTATTTTCATCCTCTCTGTTGTTATTGTTACTGTTGCTATCGTTACTGTTCACTGTGTTCGGAATACTCTCCATTTCAGACATCGGGCGAGGCCTCACGAGCTCACCGTAAGCTGTCTCGATGGGCGCATTTATTTCTGCCAAAATAGCCTGTGATCTTGGATCGTCTTCTTGTATGATACTCCCCAGCAAGGCCTCCAATCGATGTAATCGCCCTTCGATCGCTTCAATATAACCTTTAGGTGGACCCCTCTGATGAATTGTAAGTTGAAATTTCCTTTTTATTTGATATACCCTACCTTTCTAGCAGAGTCTTTGTAATGGCAAACTGATCCTGTAATGTCGCAGTTGCCACAACTGGGTGTTCTTCCGTCACATTTCACTTTCTTACGTCGACAAGGTTCACTAAAGAATAGTTTAGAATAAAGGCTTATTAACTAATTGTTAAAGTACCAAGCCTTGCTCACACGTTGACGTTTCTGTTCTGACATGCTAATGTAATAAGGAATAGAAAAAGGAAAAAACGAGGATCCATTTATATGAGTTTGATAGCGGATAATATTTTTACCGCATGATACCACCAAAGAAATTGAAGGTCACAGTGATCATACTTTTTATGCAACACATTTAAAAATACGTTGTCTATTCAGCCAATTTAATGTACACACAGTTTGGAACATCACTCTAAAATTCAAAATGTAGGTATACAATTATTGAACAATACTTTATAGAAAGAAAAAAAAAAAGTGTATATATAATACATTATTTATAAGAAAATATACAAGCATTTATCACTTTGAGAATCCAGCGCAAGTCCACATGACAATACGCCAGATAGCAGCAATTCCAGCCAGGCCAGCAACAACTATACCACCATAGAGCATGGCATCGTGCACTACTTTACTACATATTGTGCCACATGCTTCTTGTGCCTGCTCAATGAGTTGACCACACTGACTGTTACATCGATCAGAAACAACCTTGGAGGCAATAATAAGCGCAATACCACCGACTATAAATGCTACACTAATCAAAAACCAGAAGCAAGAGCAGCATGTCATGGCTGGATTATAACAGCAACAGTTACATCCCCTTGACTTCGATTGTTCGTAGGGTTTATAACGGTATGTTTCTGCTTCATTCTCTGGGGCTAGAGTCGGACGAGCCAAATAAGGCTCATATTGTGTACGCTTTTCTTCTTCTTTTTCTTGTTGCTTTTTCAATTTCTTGGCTTCTTTCTTGGTCAATCGGTTATCTGACTCAGTAAGCAACTCTTGGTACTCTTCTGTCTGCTTATTAGGCTCGTTGTAAACGTGTGGGTGCGTCTGATGCTTCATATACTCTTCCCTTTCTTGTCGCAAGTAGTCTTCAAGAGAGGCTTGATTGCTGTTGTATTCATTTACTCCGTGTAGATTTGCTTCTTCATCGTGTGGTATGTGTGAGCTATTTGTCTGTGGATACATGTATTCCGGTCGTGCTTGCAATGGTGGAGAATAGATAGGTTCTTGTAATGAAGGAATATGTGAAGGAGGAGTAGTATATGTTTCCGGTGCAAATGCAACATGTGGAGTTGGTTGATTTATCTCTGGATAATGCTGTTGTTCCTGGGGTAAAGACGGTACAATCACATGGTATGCAGGCTGTGGAGGTGCAGAAGACTGTAATGGTTGGCTATGAAGATCTTCTGGTAATGTAGGAGGAGGAGGAGGATATTGTCCAGCGTATGGATCAGAATGATGACTTGGGTACATTATTTTTGTTTTTATCTAAAAGAGAAACAAAGGAAAATAAACAGAAAAGGCGCTATTTTTATATTTAAGCCCTTTTGTGATCCCTTCTTCTCTTGGCAGTTACTAAAAATAAAAAGTCACCATGCTGCCTAATTTGGTATTCGATTCACTAGAATGTCCCGTAAAGCTATTGGACTGTATTAAACCTGTTAGCCTGTCTTTACAAAACTGAAAACCATCTTCTTTGCATTCCACACATCCCTCCAATCACCTTTTCGCAAAGGTCAAAGTTGAAATCATTTTGTCAGCTGAAACAACATTTTGAAACGACGTCTCTCAGCCCGTTATTCCTCTAGAGCATGACTTAAATATACATGTTTGCTTAGCATCTGCTTGACTGTATTTCACAAGCATTACTCCCAACATCACAATAAGAATGCCCCTTTTCACTGGTTATTAATAATCCCCCTTCATATATATAGCTTCTGTTGAAATACTATCATTACGATTACTAAAGTAACTCTGTATACCTAAGATATAAAGCAACTACTCTTTATTAGCAAAATTATTTTATCAAGCATGCCAAGATGATGTTAACCTTCATCTGCCGTATATGGGAAATTGACGTCTAATGGATCGGAGACTTTATTGTTTCGCCAAATCTGTCGCCTAAAGTGGGCGAAAGTGACTGCTAAAGTCATTACAAAAAATATGGTTATTGATGATTTAAACTTTCTCTATTATAAGAATGGTAAGTAAATCAAGGCGATCTCAAGTCTTTAAAAGAAATAAACAATTAACTTAGTATCAACCTTTTTATGGCTATGGTCAGCATTCACAAAGTCAACAGCAACAACAACCACAGCAGCAGCAGCAGCAGCAGCAACCTCAGCGACCATCACAATCATTTCAGTATTCACAAAACACCAATCCTGCCTTCAACCAACAATCAACACAACCTTACCCTTCTACCACAGCAACTGAATCCCGTGTTAACTTACCAAACTTTAGTGCATATCTACCTTCACAGCCTCATATGACTAATGATAATACCCATACATCAATAAACCAAAGCATGCCAACGACTAATCCAACGACTATGACTGCTTCTGCAGCATTAAGAACTGGATCGCCTCAGCTTCTGAGCAATAAGAATGATAAAACTCCGTTATTGAATCAATCATATAATTACAATAGTGTCATTAGACAATCAACTAATAATCAGTTAAAACCATCTCTACCTTCGTCACCTGGCCACAATCATCAACCTCAACATTACCCACATTCAAACAATTTTAATACTGTAAGATGCGAATCTATATAGACCATCATATAAGACTAATAACGATTCATTATTGTATGCAGCAAGATATAGTTACCGGCTTAACACAGTCTAATGCGGCTAATAGCAATGGTGGTACGAATTACAATACTATTGATATTAGCAGAATTGCACATAGTCCGGCGTTACCAGGAGGAAACCAATTACCCACTTTGCCACCACTCAATACAGCGTCTCAACCTTCTCCACGCTTACAGAGAATAAATGGGAAATGGCCAAATAACATGAATGAAGAACTGGCTCGGTAAAGAGAAATAAGGTTAAGAATATATTGATAAACATTAATGCGCTTTAAAAGGTCTACAAGCAATGCTACACTGATATCTACATCTTCGTCAAATCCATCGCTATTGTTGCAACAACAACAGCAGCACCAGCAGCAACAACAGCGGCAACAGGACCCGTCTATACTGATGCAATATCACGATGCTGGTGATCGCAGTAGATTGATCACATCAGCATATACAACGCCACAACAACAGCATACACATACACAACCAAATCAACCAGATATATTTGGAGAAATTGGTCCTTATGGATGTGGTGTGGCGGGATGTTTTGCTAGCTTTAGCGCATCCAATGGACTATTCTACCACATGAAAAACTCACACTCCAACTTGGAACAAACAGAAAAGCCATATCGTTGTGCGGTACCGAATTGTACAAAGAGATATAAAAATATAAATGGACTTCAATACCATCTAAGAGAAGCAAAAGGTTCCTCCGGTCATGGTTGTATAGATGGAGATGGCAATAGTGCAAACATAAAGCCATTCCAGTGCCAAGTACCCGGCTGTAAAAAGGCTTATAGAACTGCTAATGGTCTACGTTATCATCAAGTACATGGCCATAACATTACTCCACATGAGCAAGTGATGTTATCTGGTTTACAGCCATCAGCAACACCTCAACATATGACACTACAGCACACTATGTCTCCAGAGCAATCACAACAGCAGCAGCAACAACAGTCATTGCCTCATTTTCGATTACAAAGAGATAGATGGTTATTGAACAATAATATTTAGACGCTTCATATGTAATAAATCCCCTTTCCTCCCTCCCTCTTCCCTTTTTACTCTATTCCTTTCTTTATCTGTCTATTATTCCTGATGTATTCGATTGAATAATTTAGAGTATACATTTTATTATAAAAAGTATATACAAAAAGCTACTCTTCATTAAACTTAATCAAAGAGACCGAAACCCATATCATCGTCAGACTCTTCCTTTTCTTCTTCCTTTTCTTCAGCAGGAGCAGCTTCAGCGGCACCACCAGCAGCAGCGCCAGCAGATGCAGCAACAGCGCCACCAGTAGGAACAGAGGACATCTTCTCCTTGCCTTCAGCAATGAGCTATACACACATCATATAAAAATTAGTAACTATAGATTGAATGACATCACCTTACCTCTTCAATGTTCTTTTCGGCAAGAGCAGAAATCAAAGAGGAAACACGTTCCTCATCAGCGTCAATACCAACAGAGCTCAAGAGAGACTTGACTTCGTCAGCAGAAGGGTTGGCCTTACCACCAGCGTTAAGAAGAAGATAAGCAGCGAGATATTTCATTTCTATCACGGTTATCGTTAGCACATGCGATACATCCATCATCCATTGACCACCCTTACCTGTTTTTTATTGCGTAAGTAACGATTTAACTCCTATGAGATACGATACGCTTAAAGAAAGGAAGGATGGATGATTTGGCTGCTTATATAGTGATCTGCTCCCTTCCTCCCCCCTCTCTCGAACTCTCGCTCCCTCAGCCTAAGGACAACACACATAAAGCAAGTCACACTGTTCCGGCATTCGTCTTAAGTATGAAGTTCATTGAGTCTCAGACCTGTCTTGAGTTTGGCTGGCTGACGCCTTCCTATATTTCTTGCATTTGAAGCAAATCTTAAAGGATGACACCTGATGCTGCTTTACTCTTAAGAAAGGCTGTAAAATAACATACTTTTTTGATTTATTAAAGAGTAGTCACTAGTCGATACAAAAGTCTGTTGATTATAAAGCATATCCAGTACTAATATAGAGCATCTGACAGTAATTGAATGTTTCATGACCATAAATTTGATATGTTTATTCTACGACTATGGATGCTCTTACTTTTATATACAGTCATATAAACCATTAAAATACCTACATATATATGTCTAAATCCTGCTGAAGGGAACCGTGTTCTCTACGGCGACTTCTCTTTTGAAAACCGAAGGTCTTCTTTCACCTCTCCAAATGGTCCAAAAGATATCGAGCATGTTTTTACTTGCATTTGTATCTCTGTTCCATAGCATATTACAGTTTTTGCAATCTGGTATACTATGGGACTTTTTTTCATTCGAGAGTTTCTTCTGCTCCAGTCGTCTCTGCTTACAGTTGTTGCAGACCTAAATAGTTGATGGATCAAAACTGTCAGTAAATAAGATTGACTTTATCAGCCTGATTTCATAAGAATACCTTCGACGTTCGGAATTTATTTATGTCAACAAGGATATTCTTGAACTGCCTTGATCTCTGAAGGAGCTCCTTCTGCAGAATCTTTGTGACGCCGCTAACATGACCCCTGATAGCAACAGTGTCTTTATTTTTCATACCATCTCCAAAAACAACCAGAGGGATCGAATCGGAATATTGGAACTTACTTTTCCGAGCTACTCTTTCCTTTTCTTCAGTAGATGGCCTAATTATATCACTGTCAATAACCTTTAAACATTAAACACTATTGCCATAATTACATTTGGCTGCTTTCTTGCTTCTTTCTTTTCTTTTTGCGCTGCTTTCGACTCTGCTTTGTTTTGTTGTATTTTTTTCCTCCGTTAATCAATATATTGGCCATTTCTGCATTTGACCTTTGTCTGCCTTGGTAATCGTAGAAACGAAATGGTGCTGACTTTTCATCGTAAAAACGAAATAAGCGAGGTATATTGATTAGATCATATGTAACATATGCATTTGTCTTTTCCATGTCAACAGTTTTTGCCGAAGGGAAGCCTGTCTCTATTGTTTTTATGCCAGTTCTTAGTTTTAACTTCTCTATTTGACAAGCTTTTCTTTTTACACCACTGTAGCATCGCCTCTCTTTTTCGCTACATCTTCTTGTTTCTAAATTGCCCCCTTCATGCTGTATGGTCACTGTGAATACATGTGTTCTTCCGGGATCTAAAGCACAAAGCTAAAAACACTCTTTTACTTCTTGGTCAGAAAAGCCTTCCAAACCCAGTTGTGCTGTCGCTTTTTCTTCTTTTGTCTTTCTTACAAAAGCAAGGCATTCACCAAAGCCATCTGTTTGAATACAGCAGGTAAATTTATTTTCACTTGCAAGGACTTCGTCCATGCTTTCGTAGTCAAACCTTTTGAAGTTAAAAATCGAATAAAACAAGTTTGCGTTGCCTTCGTAAGTGCCATCGCTCTTGTGTTTTGCAATTGCTTGTAACGCCTTTGCATTTATAGAAATATATCGCCAATGCATAGGCAGTGTGGGCATTAAAGAAAAGCGTCCAGGTATTTTTGCTTTATCGTCTTTGTGCTCGATACAAAGCTTTTCAAGTTCAGGTTTCATAACAGCCAAAGTAGGCACAAATTTTTCTGGAGAAGCGGCAAGGCTCTTGACAATAGGCGGTATGGAAGCCTAGCCTGTAATCCATTAATTATAGAAATTATTTGTACTATATTCTGGACTGAAACAAGGTCAAGTTACTGGATAGGTCACTTGATTCTCCACTTGTCAAAATTTGCCAACAAAAATCGTCAGCCAACTTGTACAGAAGTCCTTTGGGTTTATCCTAATTATATACGCAATGAACATCGATGTCGCATCTAAGTATATAAATATATAACTAAAAACTTACTGGATAATTGATAGCAAGTCTGACAGTCGAGTAATATAAGACTTTTCTTTGAAAGTTTTCTACAATGTAGTTCAAATAGCAGTAACAAGAACAACACAAGCAACAGACAAAGCATCACTGTAACTCTTTATATGATTGTATTTAAGGGGAAACATGACCGACGGGTGCTCTGCTTTAATATCCTCGAAACCAAGTGCAACATTGCTGGAAATATAAGACTTGTTTGTAACCTTTTGGCCCATGATGAGTTGCGATATAGCATACCAAAAGCTTTGTTGCGTTATAACAGCCAAATCAATGGAATCCTTGTTATTAACAATATATACATTGACAAACAGTTGTGCCCGAAAAAAGACGTTTCTAATGAATGCACTTAATATGATGATTTTCTCCGTAAATGATTCCTTGTACTCTGGCCTTATAACAGCTTCAAGGTAGACCTTGCATGTAAAGCGCTCATAATTGTTCCCAAGTTCATTTTCAGCGCTTTATCTAGTGCTTCCTTGTAGTTACTACATTCTTTGGGCCTTGCACTTTTATGGCCCATTTGGCCGCATGATTTGCATATTTGAAGTTGATCATTACTTTTACTGCTACTGACCTCTTCAAGACGCTGTTTTTTTCCCTTTCTTTTCTCTACCTTTGTTCCGACATCATCTTTTGAGCCAACTTTTCTTTTCTCTATATCATTTTGAATAATGTTACATTGAAATCTTTTGAAATGCGCATATGCATACTTACTGTTTACGTAGAGCGAGCATTTATAGCTGCCTTTGCTCTTGTGTCCAAACTGGCCACAACTCTCACATTTTTCAATATCTGCTATCAGGTTTAAAACAAAGATGTTATGTGAGATAAAGTATATATTGTGCATAAAGTAAAAACAAGCCATTCTTTACCTTCAGTCGTTTTAATCTGTATTTCTCTTTGAGATCATGTATCGCTGTAAGAGAGGGCATAGCGTATACGCAAGACTACAAGTCAAACAAAAGAAGAGAAAAAGTTAAAGAAAGGGAAATACATTCAATGATTTACACAACATATCCAAATGACAACTATTTTTTTACAGTTATTGTTATCTTGGACCACAATTAACCATTTATATTTGACAACAGTTCTAGAACACATGTTGTCAAAAGCGTATTCATTCGATAGAACCAGTTCCTTATTACAACTCAATTAAACTAGAAAACATACTCACTTCATTGAACAGATCACCTGTATGCGTACTTGTTCTTTTTATTAAAACAACGTTTACAAACATGAGGGACAGATCAAAAAGACTTGTTTTTACTACAAGTGCCAATTTATCAGCTTAGGTACTAAGGATTTGTTGTCTGCAATTATCAGCACCATGTAGACTAAATTGTAAACTATAGATTAACTGATTGGTGTATCAAATTATGAAGTGTTTATTTTTAAGGTCATATAAAAATAAAGAAAGTGTCGATATTTAGTTAGCCTTCCTTTGGCCTCGATAACTGCTTCACATCTTCTCCTCATGCTTCCAGCTAAATCACCAGCAAACCTACCGTCTACCTTGTTTGCTCTCCTTACAGGGACACCTTTAATTGACCCACACTGTAGATAAAGATATTTTCTTTTCAAGAGTATTCTAAACATACTCGATGGGGTTCAAATGAAGTCTTTATGAGGGATAGTATTCAAAGCTCCTAATCTAGTGTTTTTCCTTCCACCATCATACATAATCGCCAGTTGGAGTAGCTAGCTCCATTCTCTTGGAATATGAAGTTACACCCTCTTGCTGGCAGAGCTACATGAACTAAAGGTGAAAGCTTTGGGCTAAAATATTCATATAGTCATCGTGATCAACTGCACCATCAATCAAAACCAAAGGATCAAAACCTTTTTCATGAAGGCAGCTACAGATTATCACTCCAATTTTACCATACTTCTTTATTGATACAATATGTTCAGAGTTATATTGTTCATCAGCCTTTCTGATGGCTTTGACACCATTGCCATTATCGGTAACGCTGAGCCGAGATTCATCGCTCCAAATAACACTGAATCACTGTTCATCCGTTCTATGGACATGTTCATGGGTTCAGCACAGCCTTTTCCTCATGTGCTCTTCTGTCAATACTGACTTATATACATAAAAATAAGAACCGAGCTACATCTTCTTCAAAAAGCTAATAACAGTTTGTCTACAGACCTTTACATCTACTTTATGCAACTCTAATCTCAGACGGCCGTATGTTACGAATGGGCGATCTACTATCTTCGTAAGCAGCCTCTGTGATCTGTCATTGATTTTATAGGCTCTACATGTTGGCTTTGTTAGTAGCGGCGATCCAGTCTTCTTTATTCTATTAACAGTGCGCTGTACTGTTGATTTTGCCAAATCGACTATGTTTGCGATGTCATCACGAATGCTCTGCTCTTCCAAGATAATAAATACCCCAGTACTTTCTTTATTTGAGAGATTGAGATGACCCGTGTTCTTTAGTTAATACGCTTTCAGATGACATGGATACTTCATAAAATATTGAGAAATAAGTGAATGTATAAAAGAAAACCGCAAATTTGACTTAAGTACGAAATCTAATTGTGAACGTAGTGTAGATTACAAAAGTATGTGTAACAAACAAAACTACAAAATCGGAGAGTGAATATATTCTCTGTAGCTTTTCTTTACACAAGAAATGGAATCCTTAGACGGTCTGAATGAGCAGCAAAGGCGAACACTGAATCAATACCAGGTCAGTTACAGAATTAGACTCAACCACCGCAAACTGATGAGCTCAATAGTCAATAACTCATTCACATGATATTGAAGAAGCTGTACGTATACTAACAGAATATAACTGGAACTTAGAAGTAAGAGGATTAAAAGAAAAAGGAAAAAAAAAAAAAAAAACAAAGAGAGAGAGAAAGAGGGAGAAAGAAAGGGGAAAAGAAAGACATAAAGTGGTGGCAAAGCACATAATTGGACGTATTATATTTAACCTTACATTATAGGAGGCTATACAGAATGAATATCGCAAATATTATAAAGATTCTTTAGGAGGCGATCAGTCAACATCAGCCTCATCTTCATTATTAGGTCATAATAGGCCAATGACAGAAAGAAGACGAAAAAGTGGACTATTATCTTTCTTCTTTTGGCCGTTTAACTTGATTTGGAAAATTATTTGGAGTCTATATAGTATAACCGGTAAGTATACTCGTTTGCTTTAACTGCAGTAAAGCCTTAAGGCATTTATAGCACGCCTATTCCACAAGCCTATTACAACAAATGAGCCACGTCATGATCCTCGTTCAGAAGCAGACAGATTCTTAAGATATTTTGAATCGACTTATGGAACCATACACCCAAGCTTTTTTGAAGGAAGCTATACCCAGGCTCTTAATATATCTAAAAAGGAATCAAAATACATGATGGTTATCTTAATAAGTGAGGAGCATGACGATAATGATGCCTTCTGCCGGTAAGTATACAAGAAGCCTTCTTCTTTTAATACTAATAAAGACAACACATAGATCTATCTTAACCTCATCTGAATTACTTGATTTCCTTCGACATCATAAAATTATCGTATGGGGCGGGAATATTCGCTATACAGAAGCGTTTCAAGTTAGCAACATCCTTGAAGCAACAACCTATCCCTTCATTGCTATCATTGGATTACATTCACCTTCCTCTTCTGTTTCACTATCAAATCTAAAACTATCGGTTATTGATCGTATTGAGGGACAAACCAGCCCTACATCTATCATAAGAAGATTCGAAAACGTGATGGCACGAACTGAGTCGACTATGAACCGATTACGTTCTGAGCGTGAACAGAGGGAGCAAGAGCAAAGATTAAGAGAAGAACAAGAACAGGCCTATGCAGAAAGTTTAAGGATAGACCGTGAGAGAGAGATGAGGATGCATCAAGAGCGCCAAGAAGCCATTGCGCGTGAACATAATCGATTGATGGAACAAAGAAACAGGGAATTATATATTCGTTATCTGTGTCAAAAGATATCAACAAACATGACAAATCCACCTGAAAATGAAAAAGTAACCAAGATCAGCTTTAGAATGGCAGATGGAAGTCGAGCCATTCACAAATTTAAAGGTAGTGACACTCTAGAGGACTTATATCAATTTGTTGAAGCCTATCCGTACATGGAAGAATACGCACATGAACCATCCATCAATAGAATACCAGATAACTATGTTCATAAATACAGATTTACCATACATTCTGCTTTTCCAAGGACAGAATATCAACCAGATCCAACAACAAATATTGCCAACGTCAAAGGACTGTGGCCAAGTGCAACATTGATCGTTGACCCTGACCAAGACGGTGAAAGTGACGAAGAGTATTAAACGTATTTTATATCTTGCATAATCTTTTACACTATTATCATCATCATTAGACAGCGCAGAACATATAGGTCAATATACAAGAAAGCGCAGGTCTTTTTAACTATATTAATAAAGGCCGTCAGCAAACTGAGTTAAAAAACTGTAGGTGAAAGTCAAGGGTTGGCCCTCAGGCTTTTTCCTTTTTTTGCTTAATTAAGAACAAAATGTCTTCTTTACAGCTTTATGTTTGGGGACCTGCCTTGAACACACCTTCGATTGATCCTAAATGTATTGTTGTCCAATCATACTTAAACTTAATCAAACAAGAGTACACTATTGTCAAATGTAATGATCCACAACTGAGTCCAACAGGTAATCAATAGCACAACATGCAATATACATGTCTAACATCATTATAGGAGAACTTCCATTATTGAAGGATGGATCTGTTTGGGTCGCAGGTGTTGATCGTATTTTAACTCATTTGAGTAAACATAAAAAAGATGCCAATGCTGATCTTTCACCTGAAGAAAAAGCCGATTATCTCGCGTAAAATATATTCTGTTCTTTTAATATCATACAAACGTATTAACCAAACAATAATCAATAGCTATTCTGCATTAGCTCAAAGCAACCTCTATGATGTGATGGTAATTTCTTTTGTATATCAAAAGGGAAATCAAACGTTTAAACTACTATTGTATAGTTGTACACTTGGTACGCTGATTCAACAAACTTTATAAAAGTAATTCGACCTACCTATGCAAAGTTGTTATCATTTCCCACTCGTTACATCATACCTATTCAGCTGAGAAACAATGCACAAGCTAGACTATCTAGACATAAGGTTGAAATCATTAGTGATGATGTAGGACTACCTCAAAACGAAAAAGAGGAAATGAAGGAACTATTAAAGTCAGGATGGCACCATGTAAGTCCTCTATAGTTTATAAACAATTCAACTAATGTTCGTAATAAGATGTATCGCTTAGCTAGAGACACGTACACCACTTTGCAAGCTCAATTAGGCGATAAAAAATATTTTTTTGGAGAAAAGTATGCATTAAATGATTTTTATCCGTTGCAATACCTTTTTTCTTATTGAATTTTTCTTTATAGCTTAACAACACTGGACTGTATCTTGTTTGGTTATCTTGCGCTGCATTTATATCCTGATTTACCCCACAAACGATTACAATACATTCTTGTCAACGAATATCCAACATTGTCACAATATTGCGATAGAGTTAGAGATGCGCTACATCCATCAGGTCAAGCGCCTATAGAATCTGACCCTTCAGAAGACGTACCTTCACTTTGGAAGACGTTTACAAGCAACCCATTAGGCTTCTTTAGCTCCGTCAAGAGTGACATTGTATCATACATGAGAAGCAATGAAGAAAAGAAAGAGAAAAGTCAAGCACAGATTGATTTTGAACGTAAACGTATATGGTCAATTGCTGGAGGTGTAACATTTATGCTTGCATATATCATATACAATGGCATCATTAGCCTTGAAGTACAAAATGAGGAGGATGAAGAATATTATGGAGATAATGAAAATGATTATTATTACGAAGAAGATGAAATTTAAAATTGGGAAACTATCAACCTTTTTTCTCTGAAAACCTAAGAATAAACTTGGTGTATATAGTAATGAAAAACCATGTTCATTTTTGTCTCCGTATTAAACACCTTTAAAATGAAAAATCTTTTGCACATATACCAGTAAATACATCAAAGACAAGCAATTTAGCTTTATTATTAATTTACGTATTTCGATGCTTTATATCTAAAAGTCTACTATGACTGAGGATTTAAAATTGTCTTAAAAATCACTTTTGCATATTATAGTAGAGCTTTTTTTTAGGAAGCGTAAAAATCCATGCACTTTTAATAATGAATATACCTCAATGTTTTATTTTCTAACTATACAACTCAAACGCTTATTTCATTTACTAGCTGCCTGGTGATCATGTATAATTTGACTTTACAGTTTAAACTCACAGCATCAACAGTTCTAAAAATTTCCCAATTTTACACTGTAAACAAGCAAGAGTATCGTACTCTACACTGAATAAGGGTCAATAAGTGGTGTCTACACATCAATAACAAAAGCACAATAGCATAAACTGACCGAGTGCAGCTGTTGTTTTTAATATATTCATTGTTATAAAATGAAGATTATAATTTCCATAGTGAGTAAAGATAGAGTCTGTGTGTAGTCAATAAGGAATACAAAGTGATTTATAAGCGCCATTCTGACGCGTAGTCTTTACAATAAGAATAATCAATTAGAGTCATTTAGTAATCATCCAGATCATTGTCGTAAGCCAGGCACCGTAGCTTTAACCATTACCGTAGCAGAACGAATCAAATCGTACCTTGATTTAACCCACATCAAAAAGTATAAATAAAGCCCTCTTTTTCATTGTATTTTGGATTACCTTATTTCTCAGGAATAAACGAATTCTCACAAATACTTGTTTGTCCCTGTCTTTTGTCTTTTACATTCTAAATCTATCTCAAGTTATCTCATTTATCTTTATTCTTCCAAATAAAAGAAACATAAAGAGTCCCATTGTACTTTCTGTCTGTTATCACAACCATAACAGCTAAAACACTACAGGAGTCATTTTATCGTATTGCATTTTCTCTTGCTGACAAAACATAATTTCCAGCAAAGTATTACAACCCTATTATCATTTTTTTGAGATAATGCTTGAAAATGAATTTAATCATGCTGCATTTTTAATTTATATATATATAAAATTGCTTTTATTTTAGATTGCTCGTGTTTGCTTTAATATGAAGATAATATGTTTTATCAGTATGGCAATTGGCTTTATAGACGTAACCAAGAATTTTTTATTTTTTGCAATAAATGTATATCTAGAAAACTACGCAAGGCGTTTAACTAGAACTAATATTTAAATCTGTAGCATGTGTGTTAATATTCTTCTAATGGAACAAAGAGGTAATTTTATCTTTATGACCTTTAGAGGTGTAATTTAGTTGAATATTCATGTTATTTGTTAGTATCATTAAAATTTATTTATAGCATCAAAAAGCAATAATTCATGAAATTCTACATTGATTGTCATTTCATTGCTCCTATAGCATTAAGTACAATAATTCTAGAAATGTGTGATATTGTCGAATGAGTATTTTATAGCTCGGGAAATAGAAAGTACCAATAGATGGAGTGAGCCTCTTTGTAGTCCTTTTATTAACAGAATAAAGAACGAATTCATGACAAAAAAGAAATTTATCTTTAAATACAAGAATAAATGCTATCAATATTTTATGAATTGCCTTAGATATAACACATTATCAAATATTACAGACTACAGATGCCATGAATCAGCGTTGTGGGCTTAATGTGAGGTATTGTGGTAATATTGAATAAAAAAGACGACTCTGGCTTGTGTACGAAATATATATTGATTATATTACGTTAAATGATGTAATATTCTTCGATATATACGTAGAAATACGACAAAATATGAATGCTTTTAATTATAAACTTAGTCATGAATGTTTTCAAAGCAAAAAAAAATAGTCTGCTTACTTTACCATATATTCACATGGTGTTTGCATATCGCTTTCTTAAATATATACGAATTAGAGTGCTAATAAATAATATTTGATGTTGTTTTATATTATCAAAAAGACATATCGATACTTTTAGGACTCTTTTATTCGATAATATAAAGCTCCCGTAGAAAGGATATTTATAGTCAATGATTTGAAAATCTACTGCATAGCTTGTATTTACATGCTTGGTTAATTTACTTGTGGTTGACTATGATTCTAACTACGCTGTTGTCTACATTCTTTACAACACCATGTTGTCTAAGGGGTCATAACCGGGGGTCTAACTAGTAGATTTATTCTTTGATGTGCTAGTTCTATTGTTGACTACAGCAGATGTATTTTTTTCTATTTTTTTTTTTGAAATATAAAAGGCAATAATGATAATAATAACAAAAAGTATATAGCACCTTTTTATCGCATTTAATACTCTATTATTTTTCTTTAAAATGAAGTCTTGTTCATGATGAGGAAAGCTATTATTATATCGAAATTACACTTGAACTGGTGGTGGGAGTCATTTTAAGCTTGGCTTCAATAGTAAATACAGTAGCATTACATCTTTCTTTGCTCTCTATATAAAAAACAGCAACTTGTATCAAACATTTGACTGACCTATGGTAAAACATGCGCTTTTTTAGTGATGAAAAATCTTGTCTGCAGGAACATTTAAATATATTAACTTGAAAGTAAAAGATATTTTCCATATAAATATACGCAGCTACCTTGGAAGTATTTTTTTTCTTTCGTCTGTATTGTACCTTGTATATCTTTGGGTTTAAGAGTTTTACCAGTAGGGATATAAATGGAATTTCGTCTAAAGTAAGTCTTGATTGACTTGAAAGGATGTTAAGATATAAAAAAAATTAAAAGTAAGCTAAAGTTTGGTTCGAGTTAGTGACCACCAGATCTTGTA